TCTGTGTCGTGGAGAGACATCTGTTTGGTCTGTTCTGCTTCCCAGATTCCCCTCACATCTCCTGGACCCCTCTCCTCTGTCACACTGCTGCGTCTGGGTTTGCTTCTGGCCAGCGGTTCAGATGAATGACTCAGTGTTTAGACATGAGCCGTCTGGATAAATTGGGCCACATGTGTCACAGATCCTGTAAAGTAAAAAGGGACCTGAGAAGCACGACGCGTCTGAGACACGTTATATTTCACCGGACCGAGCCGTGAATCAGAGCGCGGACCGTCCACCTCTATTTCACAAAGTTTTATTACAAATGTGTTTACTGCTAATCAGTGTAATGGACTAGACTAATAGCACTTGAATGTGTGTTTAACTTATATATTTTGCGGGGCTAGAGAGTTGACAGGGCTCTTACAAGGATGGTGGTTGTAATAGTGAATTATAAAATCTATTCAAGAACCTGCCAAGAGCCGCCCCCCCCCCCCCCCCCCCCCATCTTGTGTGCCTGTTCCTTCTTTTATGTGTTAGATTTGTTATGCAGCATGGCTTTATAAAGTATTTATCAAGGCTTTATCAGACACTAAAATTCTAATCAGTTCAGGAGCCACCTCCAGCAGCAGAGCGGCTCATGTTGTTGAAAACTCACCTTTTTTCTAAGGCCTGGATAAGCCTTGCAGCATTTCAAGTTCTGCCAGATCTATTCCTCGTGGAGCAGTTTATACGAACGTTCATATCTCTTCTTGAAACACACACCCCTGCAGAAAATCAGAGGGATCCCATTGCCTCTCTGAACTCTAATCCTTGATGGAAATTTTAAAAAAAGGGGGTGAAACTTTATGTTAATTGAGCATCTTATAATGAAAGAGCTGTGGCGTTCCGCAGCACACAGATGGGATTTTTCACAGCTGGACTTCACTTACTCTGTTATAAAGCTGTGCGTATACTACCTCAAGCATATAATGCTTCACATTAATATACAGTGTAACGTTAGATGGTTTACAGCTCTGCTTTGTGTCAAGGGTAGCTGTGGCTTGGAGCGCGGGCGAGGCGGGGCGAGGAGAACGCTGTGGTCAGCCATGGGTCAAAGGGACCGTCGGAGCTCAGGGCTGGCAGGAAGCCAGCCTCTCTACGTGTCTGCGCCGAATGTTAATGGATTAACGCTTGCCACACATACAGCCGGGCCGGGGGAAACTCAAGATGACTTTTAACGTGAAAGGCCGCCAATAAGTCGCCATCGTAAATTCAGGGACACATGCTGTCTGTACCAGGCGTGTTTCCTCCAGGGGCTGACGGGGGGCCTTGTGATGGGGGAGCAGGTGGCCTCTGCATTGCCTGACCTTGCCTCTGTGGCCTCACAAGACTTGATCAGAGCATGCTCATGCTGTGGCCTTGCAGAACATCAACCAAGGCATAATATAGTAACAACACTCCCGGATCTCCTACTTCCTGGTTATGTTCAGGACGGTGTTTAAAGCTAGAGCCTGCAGATGTAGCTTTTTCTAAAACAAGCGAAGGCCCGTTTCTATCATAATGTTTCTCCTAATCGCTTTGAGCAAACAACTAAGGCTTGGCTAATGTGCATCTCCACATGGCAAAGTGAGCTGTCAGTGTAATACTTAGACAGTGTGCAGCGACAGCACCGATTTCTGTGTAATTTAACAGCGGGGGACAATGAGCTAATGTTGCAGGAGAACTTATACCACCAATTTAAAATCAATAAAGATGTATTGGTTTTTTAAAACCTCCGCTTGCGCTGCATTGTAAATAAGAGCCTCAGCTTGAAGAATGCAGTTTCTGACTTCGTTGGGGGTCATTTTAAACCCGTTGATGGATTCGCCGCACAGTCCCACTACTATGTCCCACACGCATTTTGACACTAATGTACCCAATTTTTCCTAATTGTTTCGTTGTTGTGCAACAAGCAATTAGACGTAATCATATCAGTGGATGATTTCTGGTTGTGTATCGATGAAGTAAACTGCGATAAATAATTAGCTGCATGTTTTTAACTAGCTGAAAGCAAAGCAAGCATCACGAATCCAGGAAGACAAAGTTATGGTGTTGGAATTTGTAATCCAATTACCTTATTCTAGTAAATAAAACAAAGTGTCGTGCTTTTTGTATGATTTTCTGTCTCTATCCTCCACATTCTTACTCTGTGTCTTCAATCTTTTTTTTTTTGTTCTCTCATCTGTGCAAATTAATTTATGGTCTAATTACAAGACAAGCCCGCAGAAATGAAGGAACACAAATCACTGGTCCTTACTAGATGGCAGAAAAACGGCACAAGATAATTGAAAATCTAGAAGTGGATCAATATTTAGAAGCCCAAGGTTACACGAAGTGTGACACTACTATTAACATGGAAATATGATGCATTACACCCACAGGCAAATGGGCTTCTGTTATTTGATGTTGAATAACTAAAAAACATCTTGTCCTGGTTTCTTGATAACAGTCACTTTCATCATCCTCCTGCTCGTGCAGCTCTAACCAACCAGTGAAGAAGACTTTTTGGTTTCACTTGCATACCGGCGGCCATGTTCACACTCACTCGCACCGCTGGTCACCTGGTGCAGGTCTCGAGGTCTCCTTTATGACACAATGTACCGTGAAAGCCTGAAGCCCCAGCATGTCACAGACCATCTCTGGCCCACCCAACCCCTCTCTAGCATCTACCTCTGGCCTGTTAAAAATGATATCAGTGCATGGAGGGCAAGCATTAGCATTTGCATTTTATTGGAAGCACAGAGATTTAGAGCGGAGGATATATCAGCTCTGAGCAGACAGAATTAGTTAACAATGCATTACCTGCCTTTTATGGCAGCTATAACTCTTACCTCCTGGTGGGGAGAGGAGATGAAGGGAGGAGGGTGGAGGAGGATGGGGAGCTGCGGGGGTGGTGGTGAAAGGGAAACACAGCCAGCAGAAGGTTGGTGCTTTAAAGGTGTGGTGCAGATTAGAAAGGGGGGCATTCAGAAGCTTTGTCTACAGTGCTTCACTGCGCATTACGTGGGATAGCCACACAAATTAGAGCGTCCCTTTGCAATCACCTTCACACAGCTCATCGTGGAGCCATGAGGAGGCGCTTGTCTCTGCAGACATGTATGCAACAAGGAAAAAATGAGACACAGCTGTTGGGCAATTGTGCTCACATGATCCGTGCAAAAATAAATGCCACTGCATGTTGTATTTCTCTATTTTCTCTATATCTTAAAGCCTTCAGAGCACTTATCAATAAAAAACTTACACCTAATTGTGGTTTTACTGGTATCCTTGAGCAAACTTTAACTCTGATTAGACCCACTGAGTCAGTCCAATCCCCCAGCACAGCTGCACAGTAGCTCCTACGGCTCTCATCTGTTGTAATGTGCTGCAGGACGACCCACCTCTGCTGTGGGCAACACCCCGTGGAACTCATTTGCACCAGAAGGTACTAGTAGGGGACTCTGTTTGAAGTGTAAAGAGCCTGTTGTGAATAAATAAAAGAATTTACAGCAGCACATAATCGCCACTGAGACTCTGAATGTGCTCTCTGAGACACTGATGGACAGAAACACAGAATTTCTAGGTAAAGACAAGACAGACAGCTTTCAGCTCAAGGTCAATGTTTGCTCTGACTATAACTGTATCTTATTTAATTTTGTCTAAGATAATTTGTAGGAACATCTGTATTTGGATGCTTGTTTTGTGGCAGAAATCCAGCCAGCAGCTCAGAGGGTTTCCCTACCAAACCTATTGGCCCGTGTTTGTCAGCGGCCGGTTCCAGGCTCCATAAAACAACCCGCTGCTCTCTCCCTTTGCCCAGCTTAATGGTCCCAGGGGCTGGATATTTACTAGTGACCTTTGCATTCCATTTGGAGTGTAAAAGCCTTTTTGCCAGGAAAATTCCATCGTTTTCAACGTACTCCAGTGGCTCTGCGTAGATGTGCCTGTCTGTGCATATCGGCCTCAGATGCTATAAAAGAAACAAAAATGACGGTGGTAAAAATAAAACAAGATTCAACCCATTCTGCAAATCTCTGATCTTGCATCTTAGTTCCCTCTGCAGTGGCACCGTCTACTTTGTTCTGGCAGCAAGAATGAAACTCATATGGGCTCCAGGAAGTGGTATAGTGAAAATTTAAATTATGTTGACATGAATATATTTGGGGCTGCACAGCGGCTAGCATTGATGCCTTGCAGAAAGATGGTCCTGGGGTCTTTCTGCAAGGAGTTTGCATGTGTTCCCCGCTCACACGTGGCCTCTCTCCGGGTACTCCGGCTTCCTCCCACAGTTCAAAAACATGACTGTCAGGTTGATTGGTCTGTCTAAATTGTCCTTAGGTGTGAGTGCGTGCATGCATGTTGTGTGTCTTTGTGTTGCCCTGCACTGAATTAGCACTCTGTCCAGGGTGCACCCCGCCCGTAGACTGCTGGAGATCAGCACCCTATCAACAGTGGCCAGTAGTTTACAGATCTTGCCTCAGTTATCTTGGTTACCATATCTGATCCATGAGTCATATAAGTCACATCCAAGCATCACTTATTCTGCCTTTTCCCTTGCATTTAGGACGCTTCTATATAAATAAATGCACTTCTCTTTAATAAAATTTAACAATGCATACTTCTCCAGGTTTTTAGAATGAAATGTGTGGGTCCAACAGATGTTGGCGCATAAAAGAAAAGATGAACATTAGTAAAAACAGCAAAAGGTGTTTGAACATGGACTACTTCCCACAAAGCTGATAGTCTACTGTAAAACGATATTAACCAACACCACCATCTGCTGGGCAACAGCAACTGGTGCAAAAGAAACAATTTTCTTCCCAATAAACAGAAGACAGATAATGCAACTCTGTCTCACTATCTGCAATTTATGATTTCCTTTGCAAAAAAAAAAAAAAGCAATTATAATAAAATAATTTCTTCTATAGCATGTATCTAGTTTTCTGACCATTTGAGGCAGAAAGTTAAATCTGGAGAAAAATATGCATCTTATTTTCTCCAATAAAATACAAATAATACACTTTACCATTGAAAATGTTTATTAAAGGGTGATACAGTACACATGTTTGTAACATTTATTTTGACACAAGAAAACCGCTCAACAATCTGGAAATTCTGCTTGGGTAAAAAGTTAGGACAAAACCATTTTAATGGAAGAACCCAACCGACTTGGCAAATTAACATTAAAAACTGGTCATATGAATAAAATGTATAAAAAAGGAGCAAGTCACTAAGGTTTTACTAAACCAGGAAAAACATCTGAATACACCAACTATTTGGTCCAAAATGTTAAAATTACCCAGAAAAACAAAACTAAAAAGTTATTGAAATTGACCGCTATCTCACATTTGAAAAGGGTAAAATGTTTTTTTTTTTGTGTAGGGAGGATTTTAGAGAAATAAAAATGTCTAAAAAAATACTTAAGTTGATTAACACAAACACACACACACACACCTCAGAGGCTGTCATCTGTTTTGGTCACGGTCTATGCGGTTTTACTTTGTTACCACTAGGCAGCAACAAAATAAAACGGCAAATAAAAAAATTCTAGCAAGCGAATCACCAAGCAAAGATTGTTCAAATTTAAACGTTGTATTTTGGTAAAAAAAAAAAAAAAATCTACAAAGATAAAAAGTTTAAAAAGGACATGATTAAACAGACAGGAAAGTGCAGAGATGGTTACTTCCATAATGTCAATACTCCAACTCAATCCCACCTGATCATAACACTGCACTCCTCACTGATAGAATCACATCCTGTAAGCACTAAAACATACATCGATATTAAAAAAAGGTAATGAATACAAAGACAATACAGTAGAAAGTTCCCCAAGTAGCATTTCACCCACACCCACTACATCTTCTCCTCCAGCCCGACGGCCCCCTCTCAGCAGCCCGGGTCATTGTGCTCCAGTGGGACGTGGATGGAGGAAGGAGGGGAGGACAAGAGAAAGATGCATCGCCTGTCATTGTGTTGCCTTTGGACGTGGTACATGAAAGTTTTGGATATGGAGGAAAAAAATGTCTGACTTAAGGTAGTCCCTGCAGTGGAGGATTCCTCCCGAGGTGATACACTCACGCGCTAACAGCATCCTTCTCCTTCTTGTCGCCGTCTTCGTGCCAGGTGAGACGCTCCTCGTAGAAGGCTATGACGATTTGTGGGCACTTATGATTGGCCTCCTTGGCGAGAACAAGATCTGCCTCATCAGAGTCTTTCCTGTACGAGAAACCAGAACAGCAAGAGAACTTAAGGAATCCACGCATTGTTAGGGATTGTTAGTTTGTCCTTATTGTCCTTCACTTTTCCAAATTATTTCAACCAAATTTCCCATTTCAAAACAAAATTTCCAAAATCTACAACCATCACTTCTGCTAAGGGACAATTTACTGCATGTATAAATTTAGCTAATATGCAATAGCATAAAGTTTTATGATGTGGCTTACTGTTTATGACGGAACAGCGATTAGCTAATGAATGATTTGCCAGTAGTAATGTGGTGTTAAAGATTCAGGTTGTTAGACATTTAAGCTCATGATAGGACATCGTGCTGTGCTCTGGTGCAACAATTCTGCACCGTTTAACCAGTTCTGTTTTAGACATTTAATAGTTGAAAATGTAAGTACTTTATAATACTTAAGCATATTTCTTTGTCATACGAGAATGAATAGTAGTCCTCTTAGATCAAGTGTGTCTGAGATCCCCATACCCAGCATGTTTTAGTCATCTCACTGCTGCAATACACCTGAATGGTTGAATTACCTGTTCAGCAGGTCACCAAGCTCTACAAAGGCCTGTTAGTCCCCCCTGTGCTAGGTTAGCTTCTAATGTTTATGTCTGAGGAAAATTTTGTTTTACTACGAAATGGGTGCATTATGATTACCAAAGTGCATAAAAGTAAGTGCATAGTCATTATAACAGAATGAAGATCTCCCAAAATGAGTCTACCAGTAAAACTTACCACTTCATTAGAAACATGAGGTCTCCACACGAGTCGGTTGCCCCAATGATCTTCTCTGGCTCTAGGCCCCTCTCAAAGCCACGTGCAACTAGGATCTCATCCTGAAATGTAAAAAAATAAAAAATAAAAAATTAAAAATGCCAGCTGAATATTTGCCAAAGGGCTATTTCATTGGCCATAAATTCAGCAATTCTAAACACAGGTCAAATCTAGATATAACTTATATTATTTAATAAGTATAGGTGTTGCCCATCACCTGCCCATAAGTTAATGCATTATTGGTAATTCAAAAAAACAATTTATCATTTTCATCTCAAAATTATACATTTTACAACATTTAGCTAAAATATAAACAGTCTTTACAGAAATCAGTTCAGAAGAGCTAAGTACAAATGCTCCCACGCATACAAATGATTCATATCAGAATGAGTGCGTTTACATGCAGCCAGTAACCCTTTTAAAACCCGAATATTCACAATAACCCGGTTCCGCAGGTCCTTGTAAACACCGCCAAAAACCTGGATATGCTCATAACCGGGTTTTTAAAAACCCGGTTACTACACCTGGGGTAACCCTTTTCTAACCCGAATGTTTGGTCGTGTAAACGCATACCGGGATATCCCCATCAAAGCGTGTGTTCTGCACATGCTCTGTTCGCAAGGAATCTTGGTCTTTTGAGTAGCGAGACGTCTTGTATGCGCCAGAACACCGGAAGTAAACAACAAGTTGGGAGCAACATGGCGAGTCGCGGCACAGCACCACACTTTCGCAGTGACGAAGAAACTAAAGCACAAACAAACGCGGTCGCCGTCTCTTCCGAACTGGGAAACGTGTTGTTGTTTTCACGGATACCGGAACAAGAAGAACCGGAAATGAGGCATATTGCGTCTGGACGTAGTCCATATGTCTTGACGCTACCCCACCGTCCGCATTTAAATCGGGTTATGCAAGTTAGGGGTAACTCTTTCTATTTATTGTAAACGGGCTTGTAAACGGGTTATTCTGATCAACTCAGAAACCCGAATACCGACCTTAACCCGATCATAACCCGGATATTGGCTGCATGTAAACGTAGTCAATGAAATTCACCTATAATGAAGATAATTTACCTCTTTCTTCTTCTTTGGCTTACTTCCTCCTTCCTCTTCTTCCTCCTCTTCATCAGAGCCCTTCTTTTTTAAGCTGCTGGGATCTTTAGTGCGTCCAGATGAGCCTGTGCTTGATTTACTGGCCCCGCTGCTAGGTGTCGAACTACCACCGCTGCTGCTGCTTTTCTTATAGGTCTTCATGAACTCTGAAATAAGCTCAGGGCAGTCTAGATTCTTCTCTGGCTCCCATGTGTTGTGCTTGCTGCAGAAAATCACAGCACAAGTCATTGAAATGTCACGTTCATTTTTAAAAGGGTAATATTGTGTGCTCAAACCAGCTTCACTGATGCTTTTTGTGCTGTGTGTGTGTGTGTGTGTGTGTGTGTGTGTGTGTGTGTGTGTGTGTGTGTGTGTAAAACGGGAATATCAAGTCACTGACCAGTAAACAGGTACTTGGTACTTACTCAGAGTATCCTTTCCACTTAAGGAAGAACTCCACCCTGCCTTTCACCACCCTCCTGTCCAGCACCTTCTCCACAACATACTCTTCTTCATCAGATGAGGACTCCTCTTCACGTGACTTTTTGCCCATCTCGGAGTTGGGTGCTTCACACTACACTCTTTTAGAGTTCGATGGCACTTTCCTGTTCACGACGAAATCACAAACAAGCATCTCACAAAACATGCCATTTTTTCTCAGCGCTCGTCCACATGTAAACACATAAATTTAAGCTCAAGCTGCAGGTTTGCAACCATGAGCGTTAGCCACACAACGTGGTTACCGTGCATCAATGAATATCTTCATTTAATCTCGTTCTTCCCACTAGCAGAACGATAAGCATGGGAAAACTGCTAATATAATGGCCATACATGTGCATTTCTCGACATATGCCCGTTTGAAATAGTTATATGCGACCAGACTGCACTCACAGAAAACGAACAAAGCACACAGTTCAATGAAGACCAAGGGATTTGTCCTGCTAACTAACCCCAAACTAGCCAAAGGAGCTAGCTTACGTGCTAAAGCTATGCTATACTCGCTAATTTACTTATCAAACAACTACCCGATACTTGCAACAGCGTAAAGCACATTTACAAAAACGCAGTTTCTTACCCTCGGAGTGTATAACCCACTGGATGTAGGCCGCTGGTCGCAGGGACTGCTCCGTTTATCTAGAGGCAGCAGAGCAGCTAATGCAGCACCAGCGTTAGCATCTAGCCTGTAGCACATAAAGGTGCCGTGCGCAAAAAGCGCGCGTTAAAAACGCACAATGAACATACCCGCCCCCAGTCTGCTGGTGACATAATAAATGTTTAGAAAACACGTTCCTTCCTACTAAATTTTAACTTTTCTATAACGTTAACGTTCGGTTTATAAAATTGTAGTAACTTGCAGTCACAATAATTTACAAAATAAGTATACACGATAATACAAAATAAAAAAAACACAGCATAAAGGGTTACAATTATTTGACTGAAAATAAAGAAATTAATATATATACGTCTACTTTGTTGTAGTAATTTATGTTTTCATATATTTTTCGTTTAAATCTTGCTGCATTTATTTATTTCTCTATGTTCATGTTATTTTCCCCCTTTAGTCACCACACACAAAGCCCAGATTAACTAATTTGGCTCATTTTAAATTATACTTTAGCATAAACTCTTCAAGAGTTGTACATTTTGCATCGGTTTGTTTGATTACGGGACATCTTGTGTACCAACATGCGAATGATATTTCCCGTGTTGTTTAGCCAGACGGCAATTTGTCTATCTTTTATATTGTTTATTGTCTTTCTTAGGCTCGTTTCGTAGAAAAAAGTTAATAAGTCGTTTTTTCAGCACCTTTTAAATGTGAGCATTCAATTTCTCTGTCAATTCAGATAATTTGTTTATAGATGAAGGCACATTCATTTTTGGCTTTATGTAATTTAGGTCGGCCATTTTTCTTCATGGTCGACAAAGGTGAATGCCTACTACGCAGTGAATGGTTGTTCGCAGTGATTGACAAAATTTAGACCAATCAAAATACAGTTCTGATTGACGACACAGTACCGCGGGAACTACAGACCAATCGCTGAGGGGAAGAGGCGTTTCCGTTCCTATTTCTTGTACGTTCACTCTGTCGCTGGTCTTGTCTGACGCAGCTAGTTCCTCTGCGGTCGGTTCTCAAGGAGTCGTCAAGGATAAAGCGGCAAAATGTCTAAAGAGGTGAGTGCTAAACTTATCAAAGGATATCAGGCCGTAAGATTAATAGTTTGGTTTTGGGTAGTTTTATTATAGGTTGGCCATACTTGGTGTTGTCGACGGACTGTGTGCCGTAGCTGCACAGCTTTCTTGAAGCCGCCATTTTATAGAAGCTGAGCCTCGTGGCCTTTTGTTCTGATGATGATCTGTAAAGGACATCAGTGGCTTCTCTTCAACACCAGTCCTAAACGATTATATCCCTAACACATTAAACGACAGTGAGTACATATTAATTGTGTGTTGGCTCTTTGAAAGAAGGAGTTCTTTGACTTTAGTCTGAGCGGTTCCTAAACGGTAATGGCGGCGGTGCGCCTTCTCCACCCTATCCCTGATTTTTGATCAAAGACGCAGAGTTTGATATAAATGGTCCACCGACAATATTATTATGCGGAACTATATTGTGCATTGCTTCTCCCATGACGCAAATATTTTTTGTGCAGGTTCCACGTGAGCCGGAGCAGCTCCGCAAGCTGTTCATCGGAGGCCTGAGCTTCGAGACAACAGACGAGAGCCTACGGGCTCATTTTGAACAATGGGGCAGCCTTACAGATTGCGTGGTACGCATACCTTTATGTCTCTTTTTAAATGTAATGTAACGTTTGGTTGGTTGCTTAAAGCTGTGATGCGTTTCTGCCTTTAGGTTATGAGAGACCCAAACAGCAAGAGATCCAGGGGGTTTGGCTTCGTCACCTACTCGTCAGTGCAGGAGGTCGATGCCTCCATGTCCGCTCGTCCACACAAGGTGGATGGAAGAGTGGTGGAGCCTAAGCGAGCTGTTTCCAGAGAGGTATGTGAGCCAGCTTATCCAGATTGATTTATGATGCACGAATGGGATTAAGCGCTCTTGTTGTTTGCAGGACTCCAACCGCCCAGGCGCTCACATAACTGTGAAGAAAATCTTTGTTGGAGGCATAAAAGAAGACACAGAAGAATCTCATTTGAGGGATTACTTCCAGCAGTTTGGCAAAATTGAGGTCATTGACATCATGACTGACCGTAACACTGGAAAGAAGAGAGGCTTCGCCTTTGTCAGCTTTGATGACCATGATTCAGTTGACAGGATTGTCAGTAAGTAAAATGTTTATCTTGCAAGCTTTCACCTGCAGTGCTATGTGTGGTTAAAATGTTGCCGTCCCTCCCAATTAACAGTCCAGAAATACCACACAATCAACTCGCACAACTGTGAAGTGAGGAAGGCCCTCACCAAGCAGGAAATGCAAAGTGTGGGCATGGGATCGAGAGGAGGCCGTAACACCGGGGGAAGGCCATATGATTACGACAGAGGCTTCAACCAAGGTAGGGTGTGATGGTGAACACCAACACCTGTAGTGTAATAGGGTGAGTTTTTAAATCCTGATTTCCCCTCATAAGGTGGCAGGGGTGGTCGATATGGCGATGGTCCGTACAATTGCAATGGGGGTGATGGAGGAGGTATACACCTTTTTAGTTATTTAAAGTGGGTTTTGAATGATTTGTTAGAGTACTAATGTTTTTTTATATTTCAGGTTATGGCGGTGGTCCTGGCAGTCCTGGAGGCTACAACCAAGGTGGAAACCGTGGTTATAATCAGGGTGGCTACAACCAAGGTGGTGGAGGAGGAGGCGGTGGCGGTGGATATGGAGGAAATGGTTATGACAACAATGGTTACGGTAAGAATTCTCTTGGTAAAAACCATGTTTATTTCTGCCCAGCATCACAATATAACAGAAAATAACCTTTAAGGTAATTGTGGTGGCGGCGGGGGTGGAGGTGGTAACAACTACAACAACATGGGCCACTACGACCCCCAGGCCTCTAACTTTGGGCCGATGAAGAATAACTTCGGCGGCGGCGGTGGTGGCGGCGGCGGCAGGAACTTTGGTGGAGGTGAGTATTTGAGATCAATATGGTTGCTACTCGCTTGTCTGTTTTGATGCAAATTAATTTCCCCCTTTCTCAGGTGGCTATGGTGGTGGCTCAAACAATCCTGGAGGCTATGGCCGCCCAGGGCGATTTTGAAATGAGAAGGGGTGAGCATCTAAACATGGTCTCATAGTGTTGCAAAACCAGTTTGTCGTTACAGGCAATCACTGAGATACAGCTAAACTGACAAATTCACTTTGGATGTCAGGCCTTAAAGTCAGTGCACAGTTAACAATGTTGTTCCATATTGTTCAACAGGACTGAGTACTTAGGAGAGGAGAGCAGAGCAAGGAGAGGAGAGCAAGCGAAGTGACAGGGCAGCTGCAGGTTTACCTCCTAAATCTGCTCAGCCAAACAGTTGTGGCAGGTTACAGCTGCTACGAGAAGAGATGTACAGTAGATAAATCATGGAGGGCCTTCATTTAAACTTTGTACTATTGTTTTTTTCTTGATGTTATCTTTTCTGGAAAGCAAGCATTCCATTAAGGGTTTTATGTTTATCTTTTATGTCTGGTTTTTATTTGTACCTGCATCAATTCAATCTGAAATAAACCACCTTTCAGTTTTTTTAAGTCTTGTTAGACTCTTTAGTGATTTGGGTTGATTGTTAGCTGTTTGGGGTTCAGTATTAACATGTGAGGTGTTTATATATAAAATTTCAAATGTCCAAACTTGAAGAGATGAGAAGTGGGGCTCGTCATAAAGAGCCCATCACTTTGTACAGCCGCTACCCTGAATTCCACAAAGATCATCTGGAGGATGCTAGCTTACATGCAAAGTCTGAGGCTAGCCATGGAAGCAAGCTGAGGGAGAGAAGTAGCAAAGCCATCGCCAGGATCATTGAAGCAGGGGAGAGTGAGAACAGAGGCCTGAGGCTAGCTGAAAGCAGCTACCAAAGGCTTAAGTGCTGTCCGTAGGTAAGACCAGACTTCTCAACTACTGATAGTAAACATATTGATTTCTTTTTTTTTTTTTTGTAGCTGGTAGTGAGTTGTAAAGCCAATAATGTAAACTTTTAAGTTTGTACTCGCACCAGTGTTGACGGTTAAATTGGACTCTTTGCAGAGAGTCCAAACATAACTGCATGCATTAAATACAAATAACTGATAATTGCAAGTGCCTTTTACTCATTGTTTTCTGCTCTCCAGGTGAATCAACAATGGCTCCAAATTCAGACCAGTAGCTTCCCAGTGACAGCCTCACTCAGGTACAAATGGACTACAACCACGTTTTCACCTTGATTTAATTGATCCTCATGTTCCTTCTCCCACAGGTTAACGGGACAATGGTTGCATGTGGAAGCATTTTTTAACTGAAGACTGCTGTGCAGCATATTTTTTTACCTTTTGAATAAAGTATTTTTTAATAAAAATGTCATCTCCATCTGTTATGGTTTGAATACGTTTTTAAAAACCAGCTGAACGAGATTGGCAGTTAAGCACCTTTTTAATACAGGGGGACAACCTCAAATATCACATATTATTCTCTATTATCCATTGAATGTGGTACCAAATAAATACTTCCATCAGGTGTCTGCTGTAGGGAATAGTCATCTACAGAGTAAGGCTGTCCGTCCTGGTCTCTTAAGTGAGAAAACACTTCCTTGTAGAGGTCTGTGAGGCGACATTTGATAAAGGCCAGGCTGCGTGTGAACTCCAGGCGTTCCTGGACCAGGTGGTCTCGTTGGGCCTGCAGGTGGTTCAGTTCTCTTTCTAGATGAATTATGCTCTCCAGCTTCCTTTTCCTGCAATTCTGAGCGGCCACCTTGTTCTTCCCTCTGCGCCTGATGTCTCTGACAAGCGCCAGTTGAGTGTCGTTGAGGGTGTACTGGGTTAGGAGCTCGTTGAAGTCGTCCACGGGTAGATTAATAATCTTTTCCATGGGGAAGGGGATCTTCAAAGCCGCGGCCCTCCTCTCGTCCCTGCTCATTGGAGTAGAAATGCCCCCTTGTGGTTTGGTGAACACAGTGTGGTGTGTGCCCACTCTACTGGTCATGACGCTGTACTGGTCAGCCGGGCTTGGCTGTTTCACTGGGTGAGAGGTTACAGCACAGGATTGTGGGTAAGATAAATTAGGCTGAGGAGAAAAATAAGATGCATGTTCACCTGAGTGTAAATATGACTGGCTCTGACAGTCCATTGAGTAATTAACACGGGCTCTTCTTGTGTGCTCAGCCATGCTGTCCTCACAGTCTTTATACACCAAGCTCATGTCTAGGTTGTGGTAACCTGGTGTGCCAACTGCAGGGTTGTCTGGGGAGGCCAAAGGAGGACTGGATCCCAGTGAGAGACCAGAATCTGACTCTAGATCATCAGCGGAGCGAACCGGTGCATTTTGTCCCAGTGTAGTCCACATCATGTGCCGGTTCAAACCCTGAGACAGGCAGGCATTGGGCCTCCTGTGACCCTTACTGGTACTTGTCATGCTCATGAGAGATGACTGAGCATGAGAAGAGACGGGCAGCATCCTTTGACCCAGCTGATGCTCTGGGTTTTCATAGCCTGTCTCTGTGTTGCTGCTCAGACGGGAGCAGGTGGACATTTCCTCAGGGTAGCAGCAGCCCTCGTGAGTGTCAGCAGCACTCAGGTCCCAAGCAGCAGGAAGAGGTCCACAATGAGGCTGAACCATCCCATAATCTCCAGCAGGGGCCATGGGCTGCACACTTTGGTACTGAGTGGATTCATAGGAGCCTTCACTTGGGACTTGAAACTCCTGTAGAAGAAGGATCAGGTGTTTATTGTGTTCACGGGCAGAACTACACACTCGGATGGAATATGACTCAGAGCAATAGTCAGTGCCCGATCTACTCTGATGAGCTCATGCAGTTTGCACAAACTTAAGCAACACAAATAAAACACAGAGCCATCCATTAACGTCACCTGTTCAAAGTAAACTTGATTTACAGCAGGAAGTAATTTAGCAGTAAGAAGTAACATGATGTTTTTGAGAGTAATTTATTAGTTGGCTTTCTAGATCAAGTGTTGCCTGTTAATTTTAAACTGTAATGTTGGAAAATTTTGTTCATTTCTACAAAACTGGATAAATGCCTGCAACCACTTAAGAAATCAGCAGATAATTGGTTTAATTTGTAAAAAAAAAATGAGTGTATTTTATTTATCTTATTAGGGTGTTTGTAAATTATATTTTTCTGTCTTTTCTTCTTTGTGGTTGCACAGTTATATGCACCACGGGCTGCAGTACAACCTCAAAGCATATCGCTGCGTTCAAACATGCATCAAACCGTCATCGTGTCCTCTGTGACTGCAACTCAAACGTACCTGTTTAAACACCTCTCGTCACTATGCACGTGTCAGACACAGAATTAGATGTACTTGATGAATTTAAAGGAGATCCTGCGTCTTTAAAAAAAACCCTAAATTATTCTGTGTGTGACCCAGAAATGCATCAGTGTCAGAAAAAATTATAACATCCTAAAATGATGGGGGAATTTTTCTGTGAGGTTTATATTTATAACACTTTAGAGGTGAGATTTAATTGTGCTTATAAGTAAGGATTATAAAAACAAACTTTTATTCATGTAGCAATTGTATTATTATTGTTTTAACCAAGATTTCATAAATGCATCACACAAATAAATAATAATAATAATAGACGGTGTCGAGTTCGACATTTTATTCTTTATGAGACTCCTGATTGTGTTTCCTTTTGTTTTTACCAGGGTTTGAAAGCCTTACAGATGTCCTGTTTTTTAGCGTAAAGTCTGTTGATACTTTGCTCTTATATGCAAAATTATGAATGGAATAAATTGTCATTTATGGAGTGCATTTAGGAACAATTTTATTCTGTCACTTTCACGGACAAAAACTACTTAAAGCACACTGCAGTTTGCTTAAAAATCAGTCAAAATGCATAGAATCTATTAATCTGCATTATTGCGTTGGGGTAAATTTATGTTATTATGATTATTGCCATTATTATTTGCTTTAAAGTGATAGAATGCCTAAAATAAAGCATCTAGTTATCAAGAAAAAGCAAAAACTTATTTTTCTCATAATGTGTTTGTCTAAAATACATAATTTGTGCATTTGGCATGTAAATGTTCCATTTTGTTCATTACTTTTAAATATTACTTTAATATTTCTTATTTAACATCAATCAAAGAATGATTTACTCCCTATTTCGTATTACAAACATAATAAAGTTATCAGATTATATGAATTATATAACTTATTATTAACTCGTTGAATCTTTTGCTGAATAATAATAATAAATGAAACTTTAAGTTATTTATAGACTTTACCTGTAACTCTGTGATGGCCATTAGCTCCTGCCAAGCCACATCCATGTCTGAGTCCTGTGGAGCGCCATGTGGCCTGACTCCAGTTAAATTAGCGTGGATGGACACTCCTCCACACAGCCTGCCTGGAGCAGCTACCTCCTTATAGTTAGAAAAATAAACAAACAAGAAACACATTGTTGTTTGAGGCTTGATCTGACGTTCCTCGCAGACCTACCTCACAGGTTCTCCTCAAGGGGAGAACATAGTTGGCTGCTGAACACATTCAGGAGATGGATTTGCTTCAAAAACTCAACCTGGCGGAGACACAAAAGTCCTTGTCACTCAGCCCTGTTAAGTCAGAAACCTTCACGCACACGTCTCTGAGAAATGGCATGTTTTTTTAACTTGCTGGAGTTAAATGAGAGACAGTTTCGTAGCAGTGATGGCTTTTTGGAGCTGGTAAAAGGTTTACTTCAGTTGAATTGACTCCTCCCATCAGCTGTTCCAGGGTGCAGCTATGCCAAGCCCTGATAAGACAATCTGTGGGAAAACAGCGTGCTCTAAGAGACAAACTAAGGACAGATGACTGTTTGGGAAATTTAAGTGGGCTGTAATTTGTAGGTTTTTTAATTAAGCCAGTTAGAATCTAATGTTTTGCGTCCCCCCCATAAAATGCAGTTATCATAAATTTATGCAGATTGTGGTTTACTATGCAGATGAGCACAATCTGTCACATTTAGGGAATTTAAACTCAGAATGTTCCAGCGACATTTATCTACTGAGTCTCTTCAAACAGAACACAACTAACAGAAAACAAATGCAAAACTATTTTGTGAGTTGCACAATTTGCAAGAAAACTCACCTAAACCGAATACATAATCAACATTTCTAGAGCGTCAAACAAAAACCATATGGGTTTTTCGAAATATGGTAACATATTGCTAATAAAACCCGATTGCTTACATGTGTGCCATTTGTTCATTTATAAAAAACACACAAAATCCATCCATCCATTCATTGTCTGAACCCGCTTTGTCCACGGCCGTGTGTGTGTGGGTGTGTGTGTGTGGGGGGGGGGGGGGGGGGGTAGCTGGTGCCTATCTCCAGCAGTCAATGGGCAATCAGGTGGGGTACACCCTGGACAGAGAGCCAGTCCATCGCAGGTCAACACAGAGACACACAGGACAAACAATCACACACACTCACACCTAAGGACAATTTAGACAGACCAATTAACCTAACAGTCATACTTTTGGACTGTGGGAGGAAGCCGGAGTACCCGGAGAGAACCCACGCATGCACAGGGAGAACACTCAAACTCCATGCAGAACGATCCCAGACCGGGACGCGAACCCAGGACCTTCTCGCTGCAAGGCTCCAACCATTGCACCACAGTGCAGCCCAAAAACCACACAAAATATTAAACCTATTTTCTTATGTTGTTTATGGCGTAAAACATAACTCCTACTTTTATTTGGTTTTATTAATAGACAGTGCATTGACAAAAATTTAATGATGCTTATTATTTAAATCTATTTTTGGATTATGTCTGAATATTAAATTACAGGGAATAAGATGACATGCATGTATTTTTTTGGCTAAAAATTAGATTCCACCTGTACAGGACCCATTTTGCATCTGCTAATTAGAGAAATGTGTTTATTTCTTTTTTAAAATTCTCATTATGGTTATATTGATTTTACTAAAACACACCAGTTATTTAATTTGTAACATGGATCATAATTTCTAAGGAACTAATAACACTGTCTCATGTCCTTGTTGTTTATTATTTTGTCAAATGTCTAAAACATGAAAATGTATTAATTACACATGTATTTTAAATTTGTATTATTTATGGCAGCTTTATGTAGGTTGTCAAATATTCAGCAGTGATTCTACTTCTACTCATCACCAGTAACATTAATCTGGTAAGGCTGAATGGTTTTATTGGGAACATTTTAATTTTGACCTGTAAAGAAAATCTCATGACATTTCACTGTTCATAAGTAATAGTAACTTGACATTTTATATTTTATATTTTAAATGGATCAAACTCTACAGTCACATTATTGCATCAAGTGTCATGAGTTGCTTCAGTTTAAAAAATAAAAAATGATAAAGTTTCTGCATAAACTCACAGCTAGAAAGAAAAATATCATTAAAGTCAAAAATACCAAAGCAAACATACCTGAGCAGCATCTTCATCATCCTCATGAGAAAGAGAAAAGAGAGACGTGAAGCACAGTCCTGAGGCGAGAACAAGGAAAGCAGTGAGAGCTGTTGTCAGAGATCAGACGAGGTAAATGAGGCCTCTCAGGTCTCTTATTCATCTGTAGCTCTCTGTGTTAGCTTGCACACTCATCCACCAGAATAAATGGGATGGCTCTGTGCAGACAAACGTAACCTTCCTGTAAAGCACCCACACCAGCTCTTTTTTTCTCTTGTATCCTTAATAGAGAACGTTCACCCCAACCTCCAAATTTCCCTTTTGCCCTCACGACAAACCACAAACCAACAGTCTGGCACAAACCACAGCAACCATTGTGTCAGTCCACAATGAAGTAGGTCGGTGTTTACAAACCTGAAGCAAACTTAAGCAATTTTGACGCCTAACTTTGTAACATAAACCTAAATGGAGCGAATAAACCACCTAAAACCGGAGTGAAAACCAGCCACATGGTTGCCTCTGTCCGAAGTAAGAGAACAGTATCCCTCCAAATGAAAGGTATGAGTGGGATGTGGAGCACCTGGAGTCAGAGCCAGCATTGCAGCAGTGAGGGCCCTGTTGGAGGCAGGATTGAGACGTAGTTTAGCAGAGATGGAATGTACACCCTCCGACAGGTAAGAAAGACCACATTGTTCCTCTATCTGGCAGAGCAACCACCAAGTGAGATAGAGGAGCAGGGAGAAGAATGACAGGGAGCGTGTCTTACATAGTGACCATTAAAACCCCCCACAAAAAATCCCCTCGTCGCCCTGATCTGAAATAATGTGATGTTACCTCACAACAGCTGTGTGATCTGGTAAACTGGCCTGTTGTGCCACAGCTTTCAGAAAATAGGAGCATACTTATTTTAACCTCCTAGGGCCCTGTGTCCACTTATATGGACATTGGCTCCTTGTACTTTTTTATTCTCTTCTACTTAGACCCTTTTGTTATTATTTATAGACACTTTATATCGACTTTAATTTAAAAATATACTTTTGTGTTACAGTCAACTAATCTGTAATCGCTAGATATGTTTTTTTTTCTTTTAAGTCAAACCAAATACAAGTTTGGGTCCCAGGAGGTTAAGTTTGACAAATGAATGGGTATTAATTTGATTTGTAGCATAAGAGATAACTGGAACAGCTCGTCCCCAAAATATTAAACATGATTCATTCATTTAAAGTTTAAAATGTGTTGAGAAACGATTGAATGAGTTTTAGCCATTTTGGTTAAATCTTGAACATATCTTTTTATGCAACCTCATGCAAAATCACAAGATTTCACACAATCAGTTACTATTCATGGTACGTGTTGTGACTCTCAGCTGCTGCCACATGAACATGTAAAATCTGTAAAACATGACGGAGGTATACTCATTTTGTGATTGCTTATGTTGCTTAGCCATGGTCACCATCCTGGACAGAAACTAAAAATCCACTCAGTGGTCTACGAGACATTTTGCTAACAGAAAAACAAGGGTCAGTCTCGTGCAGTTTAGTAATGATTAGAGTTTCTGTCCTAACGAGTCTCACTAAATTGGAGGTCAACATGTGTAAAAGTGAGTTTGAGCCATTTGTTTGTAGGTCAGTTGGCCGTGATGGCCATCTTGAATTAGGTTAATACCAAAAGTTAATTCCTTTAAGAAAGACCTGTAATGTTTACCTTCAAAAGTTTCAGATACATTTTGTAGACAGAGAAATAGGGTTGACTCAAAGGACAAACTGTTGATTTAATGCAAAAGTTTTAAATAAAGACTCAGATTATGTGACAGGGAGGACTCCTGCCAATGGATAAATGTAGCTCAACATCCATAAAATGGATTTGGTTACCGCCAGTTTGGTGTTTGCATATTCAACAGTCCATTTTGAACAGTATATGGTAAATGACGTGTATTTGTAAAGAGTCCTCCGGGGTTCAAAACCCCCCCAAAACACTTCACAACGCAACCCACGATGGTAGTAATGCACTACAATGTAACCACAGCTGTCCTGGTGGACGTGAGGATGCTGTATACTGACACCACGGGTCCCTCTGACCACCCCCAGCAGGCTACGATTGTTAAGTGTCTTGCCCAAGGACACAACAACAGCAACAGAGCGAGTGGGACTTGATCCCACAACCCTCCGGTTATGAGATGGGCACTTAAATCCTCTGCCACCAATGTCCCCATGTTGTTGACTCAGGTAAGAAAATCTACGTTGTAGATTTACAAATAACAATTTTTCTCCAAAAATAATCATTTTAAAATCCATTCAGTGGTCGTTGAGGTGTTTCACTGCTTGTCTCTGTGCATGTTCAACCACTTTTTCAAGCTTGGGTTGTGGGGGTAGCAGTTCCAACAGAAAGGCCCAAACCTCCCTTTCCCCAGCAACCTCCACCAGCTCCATCAGCAGGAGGATCCCCTGGTGTTCTGGGCCAACCTGGGGGCCTCTAGTCAGACATACATACATGAAACATCATATTAAATGTCCAAACAACTTCAGCTGGCTTCTCTCAACATGGTGGAGCAGTGGCTCTACATCTCCTGGATGTTCGAGCTCCTCACCTTATTTCCAAGGCAGAGCCAGGCCTGCTGACAGAGAAAACTCATTTCAGCTGCTTGTATTTGAAGTCTTGTTCTTTTGGTCTTACTCTTTTGGTCAGCAGCCTCGCCTGTCAGTGCGCCCCAGGGCAGCTGTGGCTACATTGTAGTTTATCACCACCAGTGTGTGAATGTGTGTGTGCGTGGGTGAATTACTTTTTGTGTTGTAAAGCACCTTGGGGGATTGTAGAACCCTTGAATGTACTATATAAAATATAGGCCTTTTACTGCTGGACATGCAGACCGAACTCATACTTTGTGCAGAGACTGAATGGTCCCTACCAGAGGGCCATCCACCCCATACTCCATGAGTGTCCACCTCAGGGTGCTCCAGATCCACAAAGCACATGTAGACTGATTGGGCAAACTCCTATGCCCCTCCAGCACACTAGCAAGGGTAAAGAGTTGGTCCACAGTTCCATTGCCAGGACGAAATTCACATTGCTCCTCTTTGACAGGACCCTAATCTCCAGAACCTTGGAGTAGACCTTTCCAGGGAGGCTGAGGATCCCCTATAGGAACACATCCTCTGGTCCCTCCTGTGGATCGGGTGGCAGACAGAGCCAGAGTCCTCCGCAGTCCGATCCCGAGGATCTACATCTATTACTTGTCTCTGAAACACAAAATTTTGGCCACTAAAATGTATTTGTTACATATACATTGTAATACATTAGAAATGCAAGCTTGTTAATAACATGCAAAATAAGTTTATATTACTGAGTCTGAATTAGATGTTAAAAAAACAAATATTTAACCTAATTTATAGTATTATCGCTATAATAAGTGTGTAGTCATCATTTAGTTTCATTTTCTTTTCGTAAGAATGATTCACCCGTAATAAGATGTGAAAATGAACCACAGAAATATACTTTAATTTGCATAAACGCTGGGACTTTCAGCTTCAGTCAGTTCATGAATGCTCCAAAACCTCATGCATCACATTGCTCTCACTGACATTGTTATCATATGGAAAAAAGTAGGTGGCTGACAAAGTCAGGAAAGGTGAACATCTACCAGGAATCAAAGAAGGGACTTCCCAACTCAAGTTCCTAGCACTCAGCCCCTGACTCAACCAATGCCACAACATGCCATAGAGCACCCTGTTATTACTGCAACCACAGCGGTTTTAAATCTGGACGCAGTTCCCAGGTCAACGCCCACATTCCCAGTTTGTGTTTGTTTGCTTCAATAAGTCTTTGACATCTCTGCTTTCCAGCCATCCCAAAGCTCGCTGGCTTGAAGTTGTATTCCTCGTGTTCCTTGGGGCTAGAAACAACTTCACTTGAAAAACAGAGCAAGCACATTGGTTGGCAACAGCCTACAGTTGACGCACACAGGCTTAAATCCTCCTAATGGAACCAGACGTCTATACAAGACGGTGTTAAATCTGAGCCTACCATTCCCAAAACATGGTTTGTTTCATGTTTACATCATCCATGAGAGATAGAACATTTCCAAGCTTTTATTATGTCCTTTAAAGATAGAGGAATTATGGCACATTTGGTTTAATTTTATCCTTCAGAAAAACTTTATCAGACATGAGTGGAAAAACCACTTCACTACCAGACAAAATGGGGTTTGTGCAGAAGGTTTTGGTATTGTAAAAGGGATTTTTCTTTCGGAGTCAACTTCTGGGAAGAAGAAAAAAAAGAGTGGATGAGTTTGATTAAAAAAAAAAGTAGCTTTGTTGTGATCTGAAAGGTTCAAAAAGATGTTTTTCTAGCTCAACATTCACCATGCAGTGCAAAGAGACAGAGGGTAAATCATAACTGGGTTTTCCTGATGCTTTCATGGCGGTAGCAACGCTCCGAAAGTGAGACAATTGAGGAACCTGAACATGCAGCATCATTCTAATGAATGTCTCAATAAGACGCAGGGTTATCTCAAGATGTTCTGATCTTGATAACATTTTGCAACAGTAGGTTGCATCGCTGGATTATTTTTCATTTATTTTTTGAATTTTCTGTAACCCCAAATTATTAAACTTACATTAGACAAACAGAAAAATATACTGTCATATGACAATTTATTATCTAGTTGTGTGCTAATGTTTTGTGTCAGTGTGTGTGTATGCATTTGTGCATGTGCCTCATGTATGTTCATAGCATGCGAAGGCTGGTTGGTAATGCACACGCAGAGAGGGAAGGCAGGGAAAGGAGGATGTTGGCTGGCGGAAGCTCTGCTTGATGCTGATAAAAGGAGCTCTTGGTTCTGAGAAAGGGAACTGCTAACTGCTGTGGTTGCTGCCAGAAGCTCATTGTACAGCTTCACAACCCCTCATCCTCTCCACCAGCCACAGTTATACTGTCTGAAATCATCTCAAACTCATATATATGTTTGAAAAATGACGTGACATCTGGGAACCAACTTCAGGGCGGCTTCCTCCTCGGTTTGGGGATTTTGAAATAGCTGTGATATTGTGCAACATTTCATGATTTTACAGTTCTGTTACAAATGTGTACAAACTAAGTTTGGATCTTCTAATTCCTCTCTACAAGCCAAGAGATCTCTTTCCATGATTATTTTGGAACTCAAGAGTAACAGAAGGTAACTGTAAGGCCACACAATGATGTAATTTGTGGATTGAGATAGAGGGAAATCCCCATCAGACTGCTTTTCCAAAAGTTTCCCAGAAGTGGGAAGTAAGATAATTGGAGGTGGTTAAATGTGGGAGGATCCTGTAAAAAAAGATGCTGATGAGAACGAGAAACATAAAACGGGTTGTAAATGGAGAGATTGCTCGTATGATGTTTTTCAATGCAGCAACCGCTGTGTGACACAGAGCTTCAGCTAATGAGTGGAGGAACCTTTAATTTTAAAGACAAAAGTTTTAGTTAGATATTGTTCTAATGATGCTTGAAAGGGTTCCTATGGACATCAAAAAGAAGGATTAGGTTCTAATTTTCTGGTTTAACAAAAGCAAGGAAATAAGATCAAGATGTTAGAAAAACATATTTAGCTTTTTACGTTACAGAAATCAAGTTTGTGAAAACTTGATGAAAGAAAAAAGTTCAGTCTGAAATGCTAAACTTATAACTTTGTTGCAAAGCTACAGAATTGCATTTAATTTTTTAAACACTATCCTCCATTTACAAAAAGCAACAAAGTCAACAATGTTAAAGGTGAAACAATTTTAGTAAGCTTGTTAAACGGTGCTTATTGAGTGACAGTAAAATAAAATGCAGATTTGGATTTACGTTTATCATTTTGTGTCACATCATTGCAAAGTAAATGTTATGAAAGATTTTAAGACTTTAAAGTGACTTTCTTTTATTTTCCGTTATGTGACTTTTCAGCTTTTCGATTTATGGAGAAGAGGACAGCTATGGTTGCACCCTTTTCTGTAAAACCACATCCTTTTTTATATTGTTCATCAAAACATTAAACACGTTGCTCTTTAGTCTGCATTAGATGCATTGATGTACTCGAAGTTGCTACTAAATTGGGTACTATTATTTTGAATTAAAATGTTTTTATTTTTGATTGATAGTTTGATTGTAATAATCCAACACTGTATTCACAAATGCAGATTTTTATTTATGATTATTACAAAATGTACTAACTGGAATAATAACATAAGTGCATTTACAAAGTCCCTGAAACTGGTCAAGAATTAGTCAGTCATTTCTTTTGTCCACAGTTTGAAATATTTAATCTAAAATATTCAAATGTTCAATTTAAACACAAAGGCTATTCAGATTTGTTTTATGTTTTTATAACATTTATTTTTGTGCTTATTTTTCCCCAAATTTTTTTAACATTGAAGTTTATAATTTTATAAATTTTTGTTGTTCAAACTCCGTTCAATCTGTGCAGTTTTCAGGTAAAAAAAAAATTCACACATGATGAAGACTGTTTTGTCTATAAAGTTGTTAATAAAGTTTGTTTAAAAAAGTCAACAGTGACGTAATCCTTGCTCTTACGCACGACGTAAGATGCTGGAATTGATTGTAGGCTAGTGTTAGCCGTGTAGCTGGTTTGCCAACAAGAAAGAAAATGGACTCGCCTATCCTGGTAATATCTAATTTATTTTTTCATGACGGCATAATGTTAGTGAAGCGTTTAACCTCGTAGTGTAAACATTTTTTTAAATTGTCTTCATAATTTAGGCGAAATGCTGCTTATTTAGCATCCTCCCGAGTTAACTTGACAGAGAGCTAACTACAGTGTTAGCTAACTAGTTAGCGTCGAGGAAGTATGTGTCCGTTTGTTGCTGATGTGGAAGTGTCATGTCCTCCACCTGACATGAACAAGAATACCGTCATGACAACATTTTTACAACCGTTTTTGATACATGTCTTAAGACTAAACGATCCTATTATGGCCTAATCACGGCCATTTTTCTTAAACTATCCTTCTTACTACAAACCTTAATTTCTAGTCCTTTATGTTTGTTTAAACACAACGCACTGTACTGCTGTCTTCACAGGAACCCTCTTTGTATACGGTCAAAGCTGTTCTGATTCTGGACAATGACGGAGACAGGCTTTATGCCAAGGTATGACTTTAATCCTGATTCATCTTTTTTACTTTAAATATTTTCTTCAAACACGCAAAGTCTGATTTAATGTCAATATTACAGCTTTTCACTTGGATTAGATCCCCCCCCAAAAGCAATAAGTTAATTATTCAACACACCTGATACATTTTCATAAATTTTTCATGACCTATTTAATAATAATAGATTTGAGCTGTACACAAACAGTTTTTAGATGTATTTGAAGGTGGTGATTGCAAAGCACTAAAAAAAAAACACAGGAGTCTTTTGTGTAATTAGATAGAGAAATTTAATTAGACAAATTACAGGCGTTATTCCTTGGTCTGTTTAAAATTTAAGGTGTTCCTGATTTATATGGTCAACTATTTTAATTTTAATTTAATGTATTCATTTTTAAAATGTATCTTATTTACTTTTTATTGCTAAAAATGGTCAAAGCTGATGGCTCCTACCCCCACACCTTAAAGTTTTGTTTAAAAACAAGTTTATTTTTACTGACTCAGTATAATTCACATTATTCAATCCTTGTAATTTTATATCATAATTTTAAATATTGTTAATCATAGAAGCAAAGTTTTAAATGTAAAACTATGTTACTAGGTTTTAAATATGTTGGCTTCCGTAGTAGAAACCGTTTGGCTAACCCCGGCTTTCCACGGGAGCCGTCAGCAGCACGTTACTGCAGCAGCACGTCATAGCTGCTGATAGGAACCGCTGTGGTCAACAGAACCTTTTCCACCGGAGCCGCCGGCAGCCGTCAGCAGCGCGAGTCGGCCGCGTCTCAGGAGCAGCATGTCGCGGCCTTTACGCGCCGGTTCTATTTTCTACGCGCGACGCCTCTGAAACGGGTCAAGTTCGACATTTTTGGGGAAGGAAAGACAGGAAATCGAACGCGGAAATGGGGAGAAGCTCTCGAGATTTTCAGAATAAAGAACGTACTGCCTTCCGGTTGCTTTACTTTTAAAAACAGTTACTAACTGCGTCCCCGTGAGAAGTTATCACACAGCTAGTGGTCTCCTTTGTTTTTCAGGTCCGTATTGGCGATTATAAAACGGACAGAACATAAAACACAAACCATGTTGTAGTTTTCTCCTGCTTGTTGTTGTGTTTACTGACGAAGTCACTCGTGTGACTTCGTGCTCGGTCGGTGACAGCTGCTCCCCTGCTGCTTCGCGTCTCGTGGGAAGGGCCAAGCAGCAGCTTACGCGAGCAAGACGTGCTGCTGCAGTAACGTGCTGCTGACGGCTCCCGTGGAAACCCGGGGTTAGTGTCACAGAATCGATAGGGAAGTCAGACCTTTTAGAAACTTAATGTTTCCTATTTTAATGAAGAATATTTTACGTACCACATTATTTATATACTTTAATGTAAAATAATAGATTTATTTGAATTGTTTTAAAATGTACTTTTCTTCTTGGTGTGTCTGCAGTATTATGACGACACATATCCGACGGTGAAGGAGCAAAAGGCGTTTGAGAAGAACATATTCAACAAAACACACAGAACAGACAGTAAGCTAAGCATATTAAAGGTAATTGGTTTGCTTCAGTACATGACTAAAATGTGATGGTATTATTTGTTTGTTTGTAGGTGAGATTGCATTACTGGAAGGCCTAACTGTTGTCTACAAGAGCAATATAGATCTCTTCTTTTATGTCATCGGAAGTTCACATGAAAATGAGGTAAAACTGAAAGAACTTTCATGAAAAGTCAGCCTTTTCTTAATTATAGCAGATAAAACAGTCACATTTTAACTGCTAATATTTTCACATAATTACTATTTGTTGAAATTTGTTCTTTTTCAATAGCTTATGCTCATGGCTGTTCTAAACTGCCTATTTGATTCCCTCAGTCAGATGTTGAGGTATGTCTTGGTAGCAGTTTAGCACAAAATGTCAAATGTTTATAAACCATTAATCTCTCAGATTGGGATTGAGTTATTTCTCTTTAATTTTACAGAAAAAATGTTGAGAGGAGAGCTCTGTTGGAGAATATGGAGGGACTCTTCTTGGCTGTGGATGAAATAGTGGATGGGGGGTGAGTTTGAACCACCAATGATCTTTAACTAAAAACTTTTTCTTTACACTTACTGTGGTGTTTTGGGTTACTTACAGCGTGGTCCTGGAGAGCGACCCGCAGCAGGTTGTGCATCGCGTGGCTCTTCGAGTGAGTATTTCTCATCACAAATGTTCAACACGGTGTGAAAGTGTTGATGTGTGTGTGTGCGCACGCTGTAAACCTGTTGTAATACTTGTTCTTGTAGGGTGATGATGTACCACTGACAGAGCAGACAGTCACCCAGGTAAGAAAAAACCTCTACACTGATTCTGTCTTTATAATAAAGTTTAAAAGATCCATTAGTTTATTGATTGTTAAGTCTTTACCTCAGAGTGTAAAAGCTGTTATTGCATCATTCTCCTGTTTTTACTTTCTCACTCGCCTTCAGGTTGTCAAATAGTGTGTGTGAGTGTGTGATAACTAATTATTTGGTGGATAGCCAGTAGTGGTCCTTGTCTTTTCATTTTCACTCAGGCCCATCTCTCTCTCCCGGAGTGTGTGTGAGAGAGAGCGAGTGTGAGCTCCTCTTGATTAATGTTGTCATTTAAGAGGTCTGAAACTGCCCATCGCCATTTCTCCTATGGCCATGATTAATATCTGTGTCCAGTCTCTGTTTTATGGTTATGATTTGGCTTTCACTCAATCAATTAGAATGATTAATTAGACCTAGAATATTTATCTTCAATTATATCACTATGGTCATTTTTAAAAGCATTTTAGCAACTATTTGTAACTTTTTTTATGCTTACCTTATAACTTCATGTTCCTTTTTTTTTTTAAACGTTGAGCATGTCGAACATCTTCTAATTTATTTCACACTATTATAGAAATGTACAGACTTATTTAAAGCAAAACAAAGATGTAGGATGACTCTAAACTTCTGCACAATCTTTTATTCTCATTAGGATTTATCTCATGCGGCAGCCATGATTTTATCATAAACAATTAAACCTTTTCTGAGCTGGAATTTTTCTTTTTCACAGGTGCTTCAATCTGCCAAAGAACAGATCAAATGGTCACTTCTTCGGTAGTCATCCTTGTACCAGCCCACCAGAGCTCACATGACACTGATTCTCCTCCTTTAACGTCCACCTGAGTCAAAGCTTTGAGGAGTATTAATGGCTGATCCAATCACAGTTCAGGACTGCTACATTCTTCAACTCAGTCGTTCGTTGAATGATTAAAATGAGGATAAAACATGTACATTCCATTCATGTTCTGATTTTTCATTGAAGAAACTGTTTTTCTTAAAGCAGATGATCTACATCAACAAGTCCTTTTGTCATTCCAATAATCTCACATAATAAAAATGATCATTTGATCCTATTGTCTTCTCCAGATTACTGTAAAAAAAAAAAGGCAAGTTTAAATTTACATTCATGTAATTATAAGCGCACACCATTTCAGCAGGTTTTAAATTTATTTTTTCCATTTTAATCTTTATTTTTCAATATAAAACCAGACACCATTACTTGAGCAGCAGTGATGTGCAACACTTGTGTGTAAGGTTTTTGTTTTGTGTTTCAGACGTGGAACATAGATGGGTGATAATTCTGTATGGTGTTTGATTTCTTTCTGCTTTGGTTTTCTCAAACACACCTTAGAGACTAAAGTGTAAGAGCTCCATCTTCTGGCCGTGATAAAGGAAAGAAAAAACTGCAATTTGTATTCTGTTGATCATGAATATTATATTTCATAAACTAAACTGTGACAAAAATCAGCTAAACATACGAGTAAAGATCAAGATTAAACTTTATTCTGCATCAAATCGTCTATTTGCTCCTAAAGGTGCATATTTTCTCTTCCATAATACCTCAGAATTAGTCATTTTTGTAGGGAAACTACGGAGTAAAACAAAACAGTTTAAATAAATTATGAATCAAAGAAACAAGCATTAGATAAAAAATTGTCTAGATTTATCAGTAATTCAAATACATGTTTCACTATTTTTAATTTGATCTAGTTGATTTATTTTTCTAATTTAAACGTGAGTAAAAACTAGTTCAGCTCTAGTCTTAGATCATGATGGGTTAGCCTCATATTCTTTCAGTCTGCTCTCTTCACATCATTTGGTGAAGACATCAAAGTGTCAAAAAGAGATAAAAGGGGATCATCTTGATGCAGAGACGTCTGTGGCCTGGGGGAGTTTACTGAAAGAATCAAACACATCATGGGTAATGTTGGAAAGCAAATTAGAGAGGTTCACTGCTCATTTGCTCTGTGGAATATGTTCTACCTCATCTGGAGGCAAACAGAGTTAAATTTTAGAGAAATTTGTGCTGCGAACGTGAAACTCAGCTCAATAGCTTTGTGGCATATTTGATAATGATTGTGTTGCAATCAAATAAGATTTGTTACATTTCTGGGCCAAGAAAAAAAAAAGAAATGTGTGTTGTGTGACAGCAGCCAATCACAAATGCATGAGATTAAAATTAAACTAATTAAATTAGGTTTGACTTGTGGATCTTATCTTTGATCCTTTTGGATAAGAACATGAGTCTGAGTGACTTTATTAGAAGTGAAGGCTAAGAAGAGCCAGCTAACCAAGTGAACTAATTACTATAAATGGACCCAATTATTACACCAGTTGAGTGCTATCAGCTTGGTGGTCTAATCAGAACAGCTTACGTCTGTATGTGGTTTAAGTAAATGAGAGCAGGGATGAAGGTTAAAAAGGACACGGCCAGCTTCAGCAGTGAATGTAATTAGATGAAATCCTAATGAGGAAACAGCAGGGTTAAAACAGAATCCCACCCAAGATGCCTGTCCAGACACACACTCCATCTAGATGGCCCCGGAGCACAATCGGCAGCTTGGTGACTTGCTGTCATCGTGTAATTGCTGCTGCACCATCATAAAAACCAGCCAGGTAATTCATATTAATTATACAGGAATGAGTCTAACGGCTGAGAACGCTGTGGCTTGACATACTGTTCATAACATGCAGTTAAATTGTCAGAGGCGTATGCGTTAGAGCCCTGTAATTGATCAATACATACAGCAAACGAGTCACTTGCTTTCCCTAGTGTGTGTGTGTGTGTGTGAGAGAGGGGACTTTGTGAATTAGTCAATAAATTCTCATCATCTGTATGCTTAGAGTCTTTATGTCACAGTCATTGGCCCCATTCAATAGCTTGTCCAGCTAAACAGACACAACACAGGGGAAAACAGTGACAGCATGCTGTCATGTCAGAGATTATTAAAGGGAGGGAGGTTATGTTATCTGAGGTGGGTATAAATCTTTCAGATCATGACCTACAATATAACAATTATAAAGCACAGTATTTTTTTTCACTAGAAATGAGAAAATTTTAAATGTGTGCAACACTGGAAAAACATTTTAATTATTATTCCTGATTATAATCAGTCACTCTGCGTTTTTCATGCAGGCTGAACACGAAAATAGTCTCCTACACCTATCTGTTGCATTAGCTTCTGATAGAAGACAAACAATGAAAGGCTAGGACTTAAAAACACTGACAGATCTACATCATGCTGTCTCTTAACAGTCATGGACTCCCCCATCTTGACCCATGATGGGAAAGGCTGTTGCTGTTTTAGCGTACAGGAAACAGCAGAGAACGTCTCAGCTAGTAGAAGCTAACCGTTAGCATCAGCAACTCCACAACACGACAGAACTCCTCCAGGCTTGTGTTATTTGTGGGGATAAAACATCAATGTTGCGGAGCAAACAGTCAGTGGTGGAGTTGCATTGCTGTTAGTTAATCAATAGCGAGATATCCAAACATCAGAAAAAAAGGCCTCCAAATGCTGTCATCTGAAGCTCAGCTCCGATGTGGCTCACTTCTGTTCCTGATGGTGCACCAGATCTTTGTTTCCCCAGAGAACGACTTTCTAAAGCATTTATTTTTACTAGAGACCACTGAAAATGTAATGATTAAACAAGTGTTACACACCTTCAAAACATTTTTTATTTCTGGAGATCACCTCAAAAATGTCTAACTTTATGATCCTCCCTGGGGTCCCAACCCACCTTAGGAACCACTGAGGAACATTGAACTTATTGTCCTATGTGAAAAACTATTGATCGCAGCCTATGTGGAGCATTAAGAGTTTGAATTTTCTATGTAAAACAAATGTATGCATTCTTGGAGTGCTTTTGCAAATACATTCATTTGCAGGGGACGCATTATGCATAACTCACCTCTTGAATCTTTTTTGTGCAGCCATGTGAGCTTCCGCTGTTATTATAAACATTCGAAATGTAAAAAAAGCATTCATCTGTTTTCTGTCAGTGTTTGGTTTTTAGGAATTATGTGCCTAAAACAAGCTGTTTAAAAAAGTCCCAATATGTGATGTCACAAATGAAAAAATTAGCAAAAAACCACCTCTCCAGCTCCAGCTACTAACCAGCTTGGTAGCCTAGTGGTAGAATGTCCATCCTGGGACTGGGAGATGAGGGTTCAAAACTGGTCAGGTCATACCAAAGACTTAAAAAATGAGACCCAATGCCTCCCTGCTTGACACTCAGCTTTAAGGGGTTGGATTGGGAGTTTAAATCAAATACTTCCAGAGCACAGCCACAGCTGCAGCTCAACACTCCACATGGGGATGGGTCAAATGCGGAGATGAATTTCATCAGTGTGTGATGATGACTAATGGGATTTTAACTTTAAGAGAGAGCTACTGCTGGAGAAGCATTAACTCTACTCCAAGCCCCTCCTGGATATCGGAGCTTCTCAGTTTAAAGCAGTCTTAGGGGAGAATGGATGGGTGTGGCCAGCTTCAACAAGTTTTATTAAAGTGACAGAGCCAAGCAATGGCTCATTCTGGAAGGTTCTGAAACCACCAAGACTAAAACTGCTGAGATTGCTTTACGTGAGAGGAATTTTGGTGCAAATACATTCATGAACACTGTTTTATAGACCATTGAACTATTATAACTCATGAAAAATGTCATAACCTGTCCCCTTTCAGTCCTGTGCAGGTTTTGATCAAATATCAATACATCCTCTTAATGGATACACTCTAATGTGTGTGTAGTTGTGTGCATTGGCTTGCCATGCCAGTCAATGATATCAAATTAAGTATTCTAACCATAACCCACAGTATTCTGTAGCCTCCGTTTCCCCAAAACCAGATTCAGTCTTAAATAAGATGCAACATGCTCAAAGAAAAAGACAACAATAATCAGGAGACTGCTGCGAGTGTAAAAATTTGAAAGTAGGTCATTAAAAGCTGCTGGAGGGCGTGCACATGGTTGTGTACGTGTGTGCATGCAGAGAAGTGGTGAAAAGAGCCTGGGCCTGCTCCCTTCGCCTCACTCGCTGTGGCAGCCTGACGTAGTTTATGGTCCAAGTTGCCCTCTCTGGGTTTGTTTATGGATTCCCATAGAAAAAAGAATCATGGCCTCTCCAAGGAAAGCCAGCCAAAAACAACACCTCCGCCATTGCACTCCTGCCTGCCTTTGCCATAACTCAGCACACTATTTATGTTTCTGAAAAAGGAAAAAAAAAAAAGTTTTCATAGTAATGACATAACATGACTGTAAATTCTGATGATAATGTTTAACTTTTTTTGTTGCTGTGAAATAAAAATGTCACCACGTGCGTGTGGTTTATTGGATGTCGTTACAAGCAGATAAAAAAATGTGGGATTTGCTGAGAGTGAGAGGAGTTTTTCCTCCTCCGTAGCTCTGCTTTCGGAGAATCCATCGTTTCTTGATACCTTTTAAGATTTATCGAATGAAAATGCTCGACTTTGATAGGATAATGAAAGTGTACCACCAACTCGGGAATCGTAAGCTGAAGAGATATTCCACCTGATGTGTTTTTCTTATGCCTTTTTTCTTCATCCCACAATGCTCCTCTTGTGTATAACTTTCACTTTTAAAACAATCTTTAAAAGGGTCAGAGAAGATGTGAAGACAGTTTTTGCAGACAGTTCTAGACCAAATTGGGTTTCTTTGCAGATTTATTGCTTGTAAAAAAATTCTTTGAGACATTTTGCATTGTTTAGGCTTGTTGTGCCATGGGGGCAATTCCATTCTCCTCTAAATTGGCACAACTGGGACACATCTGGTCAAATTGGCTCAACTGGACTCTGGTTTACCTTGCATCGCTCCAGATCTCTACAAGCAGATTGTAATTCTGGAAGCATGACGGCATGTCTCATGAGATTCCTGCTATTTTCAAACAGTCAGGGCTAAATTTGATGCAGTAATGCAAAAGAGCACTAAAGAAGAGCCATCAGTCAGTTTTTTACAGGATGCTGTCGAGATCAGATACAGACATGTTTGGTTGTAAACATTTATGAGTGTTTCTGCTGCTGCACTCCAGCTTCCATTTCATCTGTGAGGTACAAAA